GAACTAAGCCTGTCTAATCATTCAGCAACAAATAGGAGCTGAGGTGGAAAACCCTCATGCTCCCCACACTGTGGGAGGGGACATGAGAAGGAAACTGGGCTCTCTATGTCTAAGAAATTGACCTTAAGGACATGCTAAGCATGTGACAGAAGGTTTAGCTAAAACGATGTTCTCTGCAGCATCATTTATAATAGTGAAAAGTTAGGCACAACCTAAGTGTCCAACTAAGAGGGGACATATTAGACAATTATGGTCTATCTATTAACAGTAATGCTACAGACGTCTATATGTTGGTTAAAAAGAAGCCCTTGTCGCACTGATGAGTGAGAAATGTGAGGTGACAAAAAATATAGATCACAGAACCCCAATGCTTAACTATACACAGAAAATGCTCTCAAAGAATTCACAACAAAGTATCAAAAACTGGTTTTCTCTGGGTAATTGCAGTGAGACTCTGTTTAGCAATTTTTTGTAATAAAATTAATCGCTTTTGGAATCAGGGAAAAAAATATCTTGCCTAAATAAGAAAGAAAAAATGATGGTGCCAAATATGGACATATAGACCCACATCTGGGCTCCAACAAGAAAGGATGACACCCTTGAGACAACTTTTAAAGATACAGGCAGGAAAGAGAAAGGGCCAGCTAAGGCATTGTATGGGCACACAGCCTCAGAAGAAGAAATTCACTGGGACACCGCACGAGCTCTTCCCTGCCACTTGTCTACTGGTTTTCCTGGGCCTGGCAGAAGAGGCCTCCATGCTTCATTGCCCTCTCTGTTCATTCATCTGTTGCTATTTAGGGATAGTGATCCATTCGTGCTGGGTCACTGTGGGTAGGATGCTAACTTCTGCTCTTGGCCTCTTTCTCATTTGGTTGGGTTACCCATTCCAACATGTAGAGCACAAGCAGAAGAAAGTCCACATGAAATTCAAACTCCATGTCCTCAAGCTTCTGTGCAGTTGGACTCTTTGTCTTGACTACACAACAGGAAGAAATTCAGTTCTGGGGAAAAATGTGCATAGGGAGACTACCTGAGCCCCACAACATGTTTGCTGCTAGATATACAGAGACGAATAAGGCAGAGTTCACACCCTGGGGGATCTTGCTGTCTCTTGGAGGAGACAACTCAAGTAACTATAGTTAGGTAGGGTAAGACAGGGTAAGAACCAAACAGTAATGGAAAAAGAACACAAATGTTAGAGGAGCCCAGAAGAAAGACAAATACATTGGGCTGACACCCTGTGTCAAACACTGAGTGGCTTTGAAGATTGTCCCAGAGAGAAGCAGTGGGCTGGGTGGAAAGTGGGGCATATTTATGCTTGCCTTGCTCGCTCTCAATCTTTCTCTTTCTTCTTTCTTCTATTTTTAAGCATCTTTATTGACAGGTAATTCATGTGCCATATAATTCACCCAGTTAAAATGTACAATTCAGTGGTTTTATTGACTTCTTTCATGTCAATAGCTCAGATAAGAGCTCTGCCTACCTTGGACCTACCTGGCAGGTCGTTAGAATGATTGTGTGCAGACCAGCCCATTTCTAACTGCTAGATTGTTCCATCTTTTGGGGATGACTAGGCAGAATATTCTTGTTTAAATGTGACTTTCCTTTTTGAGAGAGAGTTCAGAAGAAATAGAGCAGAATACAACAACACACAGCAGCCTGCACCTGAGGTCAAATTCTTTAAGGTGTGAACTGGGCACTTTTTGAATTCAACTACTCGGAAATTCCTTTTTTTTTTTTTTTTAAAGATTTTATTTATTTATTTGCGAGAGAGAATGAGAGACAGAGAGCAGGAGAGGGGGGAGGGTCAGAGGGAGAAGCAGACTCCCCGGGGAGCAGGGAGCCCGACGCGGGACTCGATCCCGGGACTCCAGGATCATGACCTGAGCCGAAGGCAGTCGCTTAACCGACTGAGCCACCCAGGCGCCCCGGAAATTCTTTTGATTACGAAAGAACCATTCATTTGTATGAATTCATTCATTTGCTACTTCCTGAAGGTGTGTCAAAGGACTTATTCCTGGACTTGGTGATATTTGGCAAAATATTTGGTTCAGAAGTATGCAAAAGTCAAATGGACATCTGCACTAGAATCAGAGGTTCCCTAACATCAGTAGATAGCCCACCTGCACCAAAATCACATAAAGAACTATATTAAAAGCAAAAATCAGAAAAATTGACCCATGAGTATATGGAAATCTGGTATATGATAAAATAGCCTATCTAAATGGTGGCATTTTAAAACAGTGAAGAAAGGATAGACTATTCTTTAACTGGAGAAAAATGAGTGAGGGATAAAATTTATCCCTACCTCAAACCATACACATTCATAATTTCAAGATGAATGAAAGATTAAAATCAGAACACATCAGATTATTTCAGATTATCTTCATCATATTAAGGCTGGGGAAGTCCTTCTTAAACAAAATCCCAAACTCGAGTGTCCAATATATACGGACACTTGATGATAGAGGTATGTTAGGGAAAGATGATATTTTCAATAGGACAGTGGAGAAAGAATGGTCTTTTCAGTAAATGGTGCTGGGTCAATTGGCTATCCATATGGAAAAAAGTTAATATTAACCCTACCTCACACTGTACATTTAAAAAATTCCAGGTAGATTATAGAGCTACATGTGAAAGTTAAAACAATGAAATTTTCGAGTTAACATAGATGAATATCTTTAATACCTTGGGGCCAGCAAAGATTTCTTAAATAGGGCACAAAAATCAATAACCATTAAAAAAAATCAATAAATTGAACTACCTTATAATTCAGAATTTACATTCACTGAAACATACTATTAAGAGAATGAATGCACAGAGTGGGAGAAGGTATTTGCAATGTGTGTATTCCACAAGGAACCCATATCTAGAATATATAAAGAATGCCTACAAATCCTAAGATTTATTTTTTTTAAATCCTAAGATTTAAAAAGACAAAAGATTTTTTAAAAATGGAGAAGAGACTTGAATAGGTACTTCTTTTGAAGATATCCGCATGGTCAATAAATGAGAAAAAATGTTCAACTTCATCAGTCATTAGGGGAATTCATGTTAATACCCAGTGAGATATCACCACATGCCCACCTGTATGGCTAAGATTAACAAGACTGGCAATACCAAGTATTGTAAGGAAACCCTCATACATTGCTAGTGGGAGTGTAAAATCATTTTGAAAATCAGATGGGCAATATCTATTAAAACCAATACCCAGAAATTCTACTCCTAGGTAAACATCTAACAGAAATGGGTACAGCTGTGTATCACAAGATATGTACTATAATATTTGTAATAGCAATATTCATAATAACCCAAACCTTAAAACTCAAATGCCCATCAACAGTAGAATGAATAAATACTTTGAGGATTATTTATATAATGGAACATTCCACAAGAATGAAGATGAATGAATGAACGCTATGTGAAGCAATAAAGACGGATCTTACAACCAAAATGTTGAGCAAAAGGAGCTAGATACAAAAGAGTATATATTTGTATGATTTTGTTTATAGGAACTTCAAAAATAGGCAAAACTAACATGGCGTTAAAGGTGAGTGCTAAAGAAGCTCTATGTAGGGTGAAAGCCGGAAAGAAGAAAGTTGCCAACTTCAGGGAATTCTCAGAAAATGCTCTCGAAGGTGGGCAGAAACCTTCCCCATGTTTGTCAAGCCTACAGCCCACCTGGGACTTCTTTAATGAACTTCCCCCTTCAGGGAGGAGGGTATGGAAGTTAACGGAAAGGGGTAAGCAAGGGGCTCCTGAGGTGTTAGTACTGTTCTATCTCTTAATCTTGGTGGTAGTTACATGGGGATGTTCACGCTGTACAAATCATTGACCTATTCACTTGCAATTAGTGCTTGCCTCTGTGTATATGTTCTATTTCAACACAAAGGCTTATTAAAAAGAATCCACGTGTACTGATGTGGAGAGCTGTTCACAAAACATTAAGTAAAAAAAAAGCGACTATCAGGAAATATGGTCTAACATCTATTAAACAGTTCCTCAGAAGATTCTGATTCAAGTCTAGGAGCCTCTGGACTAGACCCAAGGTCTTTTCCAACTCCAGATTCTGCAATTCTTTAATCATTAAACCAAATATTTGGAGGGTCTGCATTGGTCAGTGCACCACACTCAGCACAAGACCCTACAAAATGAAACTGACAGGAATCCTGGATCTTGGCTCTTTGGGGTAAGAAATCACAAATCTAGATAACTCTAGAACTCTATTCCAAGGCAGAAAATGATTAGTTGCAGGAAGCGGAGACAGGTAGAGAAAGAAAAATGGGGGGAATTGGTTGGGGAAAACCTGGCTGAAAAATACTGCAGGGGGCTGTATTTGTCTGTGTGTCCTTTGCCTCTGCAGATCTGCCCCCTGAGCATCCAAAGGGACCAGATCCAAACATCTGCCTCCACTTTAACTGCTCAGATGGGCCGTGGGCTTGACAGACCGTGAGGAAGGTTTATGCCCACCTTTGAGTGCATTTTCTGAGAATTCCTGAAGTTTTGGCAACTTTCTTCTTTCTGGCTTGCACCCTACATAGAACCTCTTTATCACTCACCTTCACCACCTCATCAAGCCTTCTCACATATGCTTTTTTCTTTTCCCACGGACCAGGGAAGACCAGGTTGTTTTCACTCACTTGTGCCCTAGGTCGACTTTTCCCCTTTAAAGGTTGGTACTCCACTCTTCAGTATGAAAGACCTGTGAAGACCTTTCGCAACCAGCCACATCCTCCCTGCCTCTTCCCTGTGAACTGAATGTGCGACACAAGTCCGGGTTCCACTGTATGTTTAACCTGTTCTTGGAGAGGTCTGTTTCTGAAGCCTTCTTACCTTCTGCTTGGTCATGTCTAAGAGCCCCACAGAATATCTGTCACAGTTGAGGAAGGCTCGGACCGTGTATAGGGCTTTGTGGAACTGCCTCTCGATGTCCGTAAGCTCTTCAAAGACTTTGCTCCCAGACCACAGCAGTATCTTAACAAAACACAAAAACAGAGTCAAAGTTTCTAAGGCACAAAGCAGCGGCTCACAATAACCCAGAGACAGAGACAGGATAATTATCCCCATTTTACAGATGGAGAAACTGAGGCCCCAGAGAGCTGAAGTAACTGACCAGCTTATATTGGGTCCAACTCTTTCTATTTCTTTCATTTCATAAATTGTTAACAAGAATAATAATAACGAACATTGAACACAAGTGCATTATCTCATTTGCTATTGACAATAATTTTTTTGAGGGTGGAACCAATCAATAATAGCCTCACTTTTCAAATGGGGGACACTGAGGCTCAGATAGAGGAAGTGATTTGCCCAGGGTCTTAGAGTTGGTAAATGACTTAATGTTGGTAAACAACTTAATCTAAATTGCCTGACTTGAAAACTGTGCATATAATCCCTCTGGGATACAGCTTTACAAACATGGCTACCTCATTAACACTGGGATGCTGGGCAGAGACTTCATGATGGTTCCCAGACACTTTTATCAACCACTGCCTTTCCAACCTGACTACATCAATGCATCAATAAAAAGACATGCCCAGTCCATTCCCTTGAGCCAAGCCCCTTACCTGGCCACGCCGAGTCTCACAGTTGTGCAGGTAACTCAGGTGGTATACCTTCATGATTAGATTTGCAAAATTGAGGTACTTGAGAAGAATCTAGAAATCAAACAGCATGAGGGGAAATAGATGAGAAGGAGAAATCCCTCCTCTGGCCACTTCTGCCATCAGCAAATATTTGAATATTTTAAAAGCAGCAGAGGCGATTTGAGCAGATGGATCATGGAATGCTGACTCATAAAATGGTGCATTGTAAGAGGGTAAAACTCATAGAATGTAGAATGTCAATGTTTATAGGACGTATTAATGAAAAATTGCTACTATTTATTGAGTTTGCAGTCCCTGTGATAAGTCATTTAGGTATGTTATCTTATCTGATCATCACAAGTACCCTGAGAGATGGATACTGTAAAATTAGGCCCATTTTACAGATAAGAAAACTGAGGCTTAGAGGTGCCTGGCTGGCTCAGTTGGTAGAGCATCTGACTCTTGATCTGAGGGTCCTGAGTTCCAGCCCCACGTTGGGTGTGGAGCCTACTTAAAACAAAAACAAAAACAAACAAACAAACAAAAAACCCCTGAGGTTTAAAGAAATTATGTAACTTTCCCAAGTCAAACATTTAGGTATTAGCAGAGCCAGGACAATTATCCCTGTACTCCTGGCTCCAGAGCCCCACATCCTAACCATTACCCTGTCCTGTCTCCCTCAGAGAGCATCACACTAATACCCTTATCTTACAGATGGGGAAGTCAAGGCCAGACCAAGTAACAAGGTTCAGGGGACTTCTTGAGCTGGGACACCTGCTGGCATGACCACCCCAGCAGTTTCTAAAGCATTCTTACCTCCTCATCTGTCTTGGTGAAGTGGGGCCCGTCCACTTTATTCACAGCCATGATTATGGCCACCACATCCTTCCCATTCATTATGGGGGAAGCCAAGATGTTCTTGGTCTGGTACTCTGTGAGGGTGTCCACGAAGTCACAGAAATGCTCATCCTGAAGGAAGGCAGAGACAGGCATGGGTGAGCAGAGGAAGAGCAAAGATAGTAAAACAGCCCAGAGCCCCATGTGCCCCTGGTAGGAGGTGGGAGGAGGGGACACGCTATTATCTTTTGAAAAGAGAATGAAGTCATTTCCATGGACTTCCATTCAGCAAGGGCAATGCAATCAGGGGTGATTTCTGCCCTGGAAGCCTCCAAAATCCAAGAGGAGAAAGTCTGATTTACAATTTACCAAGGACTGTGGAGGAGATGCAAGCAAAGTTCTGTGGGGGCCTGAGGATGGGGGGGCTGACTTTGAATGGGGAGGGGGTTTAGAAATAGAAACGAGTGAAGAAAAGACTTTAGTGAGTATAATAATCACAATTGCTAGCAGGTTTCACGTGTGGTGCTTTACTTATATCAGCTCACTTTAATCCTATGAGATGGGGACTGCTGGTAGTCCATTCTCTGCAAAGGGAAACTGAGACTCCAGAATGTTAATGTGACTTGCTACGTGTATGTGTGTGTGTGTGTGTGTGTATGTATGACTCCAGAACCTGCCCTCAGCTCTGCTGCCTTTAAGGGAAGCCTTGGTAAGGTTAGACCTGAGTTCAGGTCATCCAACAAAAGAACTTGGTACTTCCAGCTTTTTGAGCAATTCGGTTCTAGCACCACACAATCAGTCCAATGGATATCCCTCTCTCACAGGTCTTAATGGAAGCCCCGTTGTGTGTCAGGCCTTACGCTGAGTGCTAGGGATACAAGGGAGACTAAGGCTCAGGCCAACTCATAGACAAATCAATAATAGTAATACAGGACCTAAGGCTCGGCTCAAAGCTGTGGGAGTACAGAGGAGTACACATCCCGGCACCCCACCCCTAAAGCAGCCTGGGAGGCCAGCCCAGGGCAGAAAGAGGAGACAGAGCCTGAATTGTTGTCTTAAATCCGAAAGAATCCACCTTTCTGTTTCTTGGTAGCACTATGAGTTTTCCCAACCATCGGCATTGCTTGGGACACAAGCCAGCCCAGATATGCACAGTTCATGCTGTTCTGAGAAAGGAAGTGTATTTCATAGAGGCGATTCACACAGCTTTTCTAGAATTGAGTGTGCAGAACCTTTCCCACGATAGAGAAATGCAGAGCACGATGCTCCGAATCTATGGATTTCTTCTAGTCAGGGTGGGATTAGACAGGCAACAACACTGTTGTCAGTGAAGGTGTCTCAAACCAGGTGAAGGGTACGGGAATTAAGAGAAGCCTGTAGAGCTCTACTTGAACTAGCATCTGAGGATTAAGCAAAATCTCTGAAGAGGCATTAGTCATGAAGCGTTTCTATGTCATTCTCTAAGGACACTGATAAATCCCTAAACCCAGGCCTGGGTGGGGCATGCTTGGATTCATTTCATTAAGCCGTTCTGTCTTGCAATATTCACTTCTATCAAGGAAGACAATACTTGGGCCTTACCTGCCTCTGAAACAGATGTTACTAAATCCACCAGAACCCTCTTTTCCACTGAGAAGCCCCAGAACTGTCTCACAAATAATACAGCTGCCAGCTGACTGGTGTTCGCACAATCATTGCCATCCTCATACTTTCAGCATAGAAAGTATTCTACACAGCCATGTCACAGAACCTCAGGTTATCAGAAGCAGGGGGGCCTTAGAAGCCATTTAGCTCAAACTGTTTATTTTAAAGTCCTGGGAATCAGATGCCCCACTTAGGGAAAGCCCAGAGTCATTCATTCATCCAGTGAGCATTCATGGAGAGCCTTATGCCAGGCACTGTTCTAGACCCTGAGGCTGCAGCAGTGAACAAGGGAGGCTTCTCTGTAGAGGTGATGCTGAGAGCTGAAGTTTCAGGGGAGCCAGGTGGGTGGAACGCATTCTAAGCAGGGAGCACAGCGAGTGCAAAGGCCAGGAGGGGGCAGTAAGTTGGCCCATCTGAGAAACAGAAAGACCAGTGTAGCTGAAGCAGAGTGAGGGAGAGGGAGAGTGGAGGGCAAGGAAGTCCAACAGGTGGGCAGGAGCCCCATCTGGCTGAGCCTCGGAGGCCACTGTGAACAGGTTAGATTCTATTCCAATGCAATGTAAGACAGCTTCTCATTCTTGGAAATCCCAGTTCCTCTTTTCAAACCTTCATGGTGTCAAGCTCCGCTGTGTCCCATGGTGAGATTTACTGTTTATGGAACAATAATGATATACGCAGCCCCGAGCCTGATGACTTAATCTGTTATCTCATTAACTCTCACATCAGCCCTGTCACATAGAACCTTCCCTCTTCTGTAGACAACTCCCTTGCTGACAAGTGGGACAGCCATTCATTCACTGGTTTATATACTGATACACTGATTGATTGATTGATTGATTGATTCATTGATTCATTCATATTTACTGAACACAGGCTCTGTGAAAAGCACTGGATATGCCAAGACCAATAAGAAGGAAGAGGCTGTCCTCACTGGGTTCTCACAGGATAGTGGGAACATCATGTAAAACATGAACCCACAATTCAAATCATAATGTGAAGGATGTCCCCACAGGATGGGTGAATGGGAGGGAGGGACTTGTTCTCTGAGGCTTCAGGGGGTCAATCAGTATATTATCAGTAGTTGAAGATTCTCCGAGCCTCAGTTTGCCCTTTGGTAAAATCAGAGTGTTGGACCGAGTCCTCCTTGAGGCTTCCTTCCAGGCTAGCATGCTAGGTTCCGGGTCTCACGTACAGGGAAGGACAACAGCTGTGAGAGTCTCTGGAAATGTGCTCTCAGGTTCAGTCTTCAGAAATGGGAATTGTCATGTGTTGGAAAAACTCCCTGTTCTCCTTTCCTCTCACACTAGTAACACACTCACGTCACTCTGACACCAGATATTAGGTGTCTCTCCCACACTGACCACTTCTCTGACACCAGCTGACCATCCAACAGTTCAGTTGAGTTCTGACACCATCTGTCGAGAGTCAGCGTCAGACCCTGCAGGTAAGAGTTCAATCCCACAAGACTGTCCCCACTTCAGATGCCAATCACAAGTCCAGGTTGGTCACCTATACTTCTGACAGGCTGGCTAGAGCAGGATCCCAAGACCCCCCTCCTTGGGTTCAATAATTGGCCAGAACAGCTAACAGAACTCAGGGAAATGCTTACATTTATAGGTTTATTGTATGATAAAGGACATAATAAAAGATAAACTGTCATGTGAAGAGATACATAGGGTGAGATCCAAAAGGGTCTTGAGAGCAGGCACTTCCAGCCCCTAGAGTTGAGGTGTGCCACCCTCCTGTTACGTGCCTGTGCTCACCAACCCAGAAACTCTCTGAACCCTGTCCTTTGGGGATTTTTATGGAGCCTTCATCACATCTGCATGATTGATTACTAGCTCTATTTCCAGCCCATCTCCTGTTGTCAGAGAATGGGGAGGTGGGCTGAAAGTTCCAAGTTTCTAATCATGGCTTCATCTTTCTGGTGATTGGCTCCATCGAGGAGCCCACCAAAAGTCATCTCACAAGAACAAAAAACCATCTACCAGACAGGAAATTCCAAAGAATTTAGCAGCTCTGTGTCAGATGCTCCTATCACTTAGGAAATGGTAAGAGTCTTAAGAGTTCTGTGTCAGGAACCAGGACAAAGACCAAATAAATATTTCTTTTTATAAATCACAATATCACAGCCAACTGGCAAGGGTCATCATTTATTAATTCATGCAATAATCTGTAATGAGGACCCACTCTGTCCCAGGTGAATAAACCAGACAGGAACAGGCAGGCTTTGTGGGCTTTCCTAAGGAGAAAGGATAAAGAATAAAACACACACAAATATTGAAGGGCTAGTAGGGTTGCCAGATTTAGCAAATAAACACAAGACGCCTAGTTAAACTTGAATTCCAAGTAAATACATACTTTTTAAAGTACAAGTATATCCTAAATATTGCACGGGACATACTTATACTAAAATATTGTTCTTTGTTTACCTAAAGTTTAAATTTTACTGGGAATCCTGGCTCCTAATGGCAAGTCTCCCTGAGGCGATCCCAAGGTTGAGCAGGAATTTGCTAGGACATGGGGAGTTATATTTCAACCCTGGGAAACTTCTTCATTCATGGTTTCACATTTCAAAAATCCAGTGACTGTAACCATGGCCCAAGTGTTTTGAGGGTGCTGAAGGCTATCACTTGTTGATGGTGCAGGGTCAACCCAGACTTCAGTCTATACCATCTTCCTCGTCCTTCCCCCAGCCTCCAGTCACTATCCAGAGTCCCAAGTAGAGCAAGATTCCTCAAGGAAAGGCAAACACAGGCAGATGCTGATTACCAGGGCTTGCTGGCCTGGACGAACTTCACCCTGGCCTGAGTCACCAGCCAGAGAGACTGACCCAGGCTTGAAAGCTTCCAGGGAAGCTCAGGCATTCCTTCCAGAGTGAACTTTGGGTTTGAGCAGGAAATAGCAGGCGTTCCCTTAGCATAGAGGCTCAGCAAACTCTTAGACCAGGGTACGTCAGCATCAGAGCACCTGCCTACATCCTCAGTCCCTCAACACCAGGATCGAGAGAAACTCTTAGCACCTCTCTTTTGTTTTTCCCACCAACAAATTCTAAACTGAAAGCTCCAGAAGGGCAGGACTGGATTCTTCTCCAAATCCTACACTGACCTGGTACAGCAGCCATCCCTTAGAAAAGATCCTTAACAACAGAAGAGTAATAATAACAACAAGGAGTGGGAGCGGCCAATAGCAGTCACTACAATGTGCCAAGAACCTTGCTAGACGGGAAATAATTTGCTCCTTTGATCCTACAACAACACTGTGCAGTAGGTATTCTCGCCCCATTTTATAAATTAGGAAGTGAGCCCAGGCAGACTCAACAATACACCAAGGCACTATTCTTAGAAAGTCACAGAGTCATGATACACACCCAGATGTGACCTCAAAGCTTAACCTCTTCATTCTCTGCTATATGATTTGGAATGACCACTAGGAAACAGCATCCAGTCCAATGCCCTCATTTTGTAGATAAGGCAGAAGTACAGAATAACAGAGCAGTGAAAAGTGTGGGCACAAGGCCAGAGTGCCTGGGTTCAAATACCTGCTCTGTCACTTTCTGTTAGAGTGGCTCTGAGCAAGTTATTAACCTTTCTGGGTTTTAGTTTCACCATCTGTGAAACAGGGATAATCTGTTACGTTATAAGACTGTGGCGATCCATGTGGGCTACAATTAAAGTCTAGAGAGAGTTGAAGGGAGAACAGACTCCAGTCTAGTTGAAAGCCCCCTGAATGCACAACCATCCTCCTACCCTTGGATGTCCAAGGGGAAACAGGGAAAGATGAGCCCCATGGGAGATCCAACCCAGTGGATTTAGAGAAAACCATCTCCCACAGAGGTCGAAGTCTGTGCTTCTTATCTTGCCAAGGAACCCAAGTCAAAAAGACAATCCGTTCAAGTTCCTGCGTTTGTGGTTTGGAAGTCCTGGCCTTGCCCTAATTCCTTGGTCACTTTGGGCAAGCCCCTTCTCGAGCTCTCCTGACTCTAGGCTCCTCAGCCATTAAATAAGGCAGATGGATGAGATAATTTCTGGAGCCTCCTCTCTCCCCTTTTAACCTTATGACTCTTAATCTGAAATAAGGCCAGAGGTAAGGCGAGCATAGTCACAAAACGTCCAGGCTGCATCTTGGAAATGCCTGAACACAGGCTCCTGGTTTGGTCAGTGCTGCTGACCAGGCTTGGGCCCTGCTATCATGGGGCAAACATTCTTTTGGGCAAGACGGGGTTAAAGGAATTGAGTATAATTACCTGATGGTGAGTCTTTTATGCCGAGTATTGACAGAGCTTCTGCTTTGTGCCACACATTTGCTAGGATAAAGTGGAGAATAAGGCAGGCATGGTCCCTGGCCCCCAGGCTTATTATGATAAATGGTTTTAGGAAGGAAACTGTGACAGAGGGATCTGGGAGGGCCTCCCGGAAGAAGTGACCTATAAGTTGAGATCCAAAGGATAACCAGGAGTTGGCCCCAGGGGCAGAGAGCCTTGGGGGGATCTGTATGAAGTGTTTTGTCCTGGTGATCAAAGAGGTCTTTATCAGAGCTGCCAGTAGAATCCCATGGAAAGCTGGACTCAGAAACAAGAGCCAAGCGCTTAACCAAGTGGTCCTATTAACATTTCCAGTAATGAAACACACCGCCATCATCTATCTTCTGATGTAATGCACAAAGATAAACACACCATCACCTCTAGGATACTCCTGATAGAAACGCACGACCTGAATCTAATCATGAAGACACAGACAAAGCCCAAATGGAGGGACACTTCTGCAAAGTATTTGGCCTGCTCTCTTCAAAAACCTCAGCATCGTGGAAAACAAGACAGGCTGAGGAACTGTTTCAGATTTGAGGGGACTAAAGAGATAGTGCTATCTGGGTGTAATTGAGGCGAATGGCAAAAACTGAATCTGCACTGTTTATCAGGTAATAGTATTGCATCAATGCTACATTTCCTGAATATGTATCCACAGTGGTGGCTACATAAGAAATGTCCTTGTTCTGGAAATACACAACACATTGTCTACTCTTGACTCCCAAATGGGTCAGAAAAAATGGAGAGATAAAACAAATGTGGCAAGGAGTGAACAACTGGTGAATCTGGATGAAAGATACATAGTTGTTTGTACTATTTTTAAACCCTTCTGTTAGGTTTGGATTTTTTCCCCAAATAAAATGTTATAAGTAAATAAATTAAGAGAAGTGCCAAACTGTGACCAGCCCAGTATTAATGGCCAGCAGCTCCCCACCCCACTTGCACCCCCCAAGACCCCAGGAATAATGCCTCCCTGCCCCCCATTCTTATGGGTAAGAGGATACCTCTTCTGTGTTGAGGACGTTGGTGACCTTTTTAGAGTACGCGACGTGACCCACCACACCCATGTCCAGGGGGAACACAATCTCCGAGTCGGGCACCACCAGGCATTCCTCAAGAACAGCATCCTTGTGGACGTTGAAGAGCCGGGTGGCTAGCTCTGCGATGCCATTTCGGGCCCTGTACATGAACAGGCTCATGCGGTCTGCCCGCAGGAGGAAGCACAGCTTCTTCATGACGTTGAAGATGCATCTCTCCGTCTGCAGATTTTCCTGGAAGTCCCGCAGGAGGTCGAAGATGATTTCACTCTCCTCCACGCTGCTCAGCGAGTGGTAGTTGCTGAAGTCCACGGCTGCCTCCTTGGCCCCCAGCAGGTCTGAGATGACCTTGGCCCGGTAGCGGAGGTTGTAGTACTGTTTGGCAAACATGATATTCGAGTCCAGGAACTTCTCCACCTGCTCCGCCGTCACCTCGCCCATGGCTGGAATCCCACTGGCTACTTCGGTGGAGAAGTAGCTCCAGCTGGCCTTCCCAGGGAAGGTTTATAGTTCGTGGCAAGACGGAGTCGGGAGGTGTTTCGTGTCAAGCTGGGCTTCTATGGGTCTGGCCTGTGGATCTCGCCGCTATGGCTGCAGAGGGGAAGGAGAGAGCTCGGGAGATTAAATCATTAATATTCCCCGAGAGCAAGGATTATGAGGATCAGAAGGTTCCAGATGCCGCCAGGCCCCAGATGGGAGAAGGTGAGAGTTTCCTTTTCACCTTGGCCTGAGAGCTGAGAAGGGATTTCTAGACAGAGCAGGAGGTGGGCAAAACTAAAAACAATCCCCAAGCAGAGACTGCCGAACGGGCAGCGCAGGGACGACCCGCTACTGTAGGTGTGTTTTTCTTCAACGTTTGACACAGAAGACTACCTACGCTGTTTAGGAGATTTGTTCAGCTGCTCTTGGAGAATCGGAAGATCTAACAACTCTGGGCCCACTTTCCTCCCTGGCAGGCATGGCTAGAGCTGAGAGGGACTGCCTGCCCGGCTCCCAGCCCCTCCCCCCACCCTTCTGTGCCCCCTTTCCCAGGGCCTCCCCAGAACGGCCTCACCGCGCATGCTCACCATTCAGCCTGCTTCCTTGTGTGCATTACAGGTCTGGCACCTACCGGCCCGATTTCAGAATCTGCCTCAAAGTCTTTCCCAGCTTTAGAAGTCAACGACCCTTAGGCGCCTGGGTGGCTCAGATGGTTAAGCGTCTGCCTTCAGCTCAGGTCATGATCCCAGGGTCCTGGGATCGAGTCCCGCATCGGGCTC